AAATTTTTTAGATAGAGGCCACTAAAAAAAATTTGCCCCGGGCCCCCGCCAACCTCTCGGCGGCCCTGAACACGATGATGGATATATGGTTTCTATAAGCATAACAAAATGCTCAAAGGATTGTATAATCATGTTTTGCTCGCTACTCTGGTTTAATGATTACAAAGCCCAGTCGAATTGTGATCAAGACGGCACAACGTTTCGACACTCCAGTCTAGTGTCTTGCAGGGATAATCTAAAGTTGCAAAATGCTACAATAACATTCAAGACAGTTTTTAGGAACTATACAATCATGAGATTGTAGTTCCAATAAGTAACTCTCTGAAATGCGTTATTTTTGACAATATACATAGGGATAATCTAGTCTTTGCATGCACTCAAATTAATTATACAATTTCTTGAGACATTTACTCCACCCTTAATTTCTCCCCCACTCGTTTCAATGCTAGTTTCTTCCAACCAGACATCGGATTATTGTCGGCACGCCTTTCAAATCGCATATCAAACTTTCGCCCTATATGAATGAACATTTGCTCAAACTAGTGTCCAGTCGCTTAATGTGAAGTTACAGACGCTCCATTTTAGGCTCAGTGTAAGATTAGCTATGCTGAACTGGTTTTGTAATACCTTCTTTAAATAAAGTTCATTATTTAATATTATTATTATTATTATATGGCGGAGAGACCAAAGCCCACGCTTCGAGATTTCCCAAGCATAAACTTCAATTATAATGAGGCAGAATAACTAAAAAGTGACATTTTACTAAACGCAAAATCATTACAATTGTTCAACACTTATCTGGATTCTGGTATACAATATATAAAGACATATAAGGGAGATATTGAGTCTAAGACGTCCCTTCGCCATCTTCTACAGCCGAGATCATTTGAATTATTAATGAGCTTGTAAACATGAAAACCCACATCATTGCGCACATTTTGCCCTTCCTAAATCGCCATAAATAAACACGAATTTGCTATCAAAATGCGCAAAATTTCACGAAGATTTCAAATCTGGAGGTAACTGGAGTCAAAGACCTGCGCATAAGGTCCTAGTGCCAGTTTTCTTCAACAGAAACTGCGCGCGAGGCGAATTTCCTGTATAAATCATAAACATTCAAAAGATGCCTAAGGGCTTATTCTTTCCTATATCGTAGGTAACTGAACACAGATATAATCGTAGAGCAAATTAACGTAAGCGAAAAAACATCAAATTTTGGGGTGATTTGTACAGGCAAAAGTTGGAAATATGATGGCCTTTTTTATTGATTATGTGCTCGATTAACACTGATTTAGTATAGTGCGTGAGGGCCATTAGGAAGAATACCGCTTGGGTAATAATGCTGCATGTTCAATTCAACCCTCATGTAAATTATTGATTCAATAATAATAATAATAAAGAATGTTTGCCTTTGAAATGTTTGTTATTATATTCTACGACTACGTGCATTGTATATAGGTTATTACAAACCAGCTGGGTTAAAAGTTGCGCAGCAGGAGGGCGAGTGAAGGTAAGAGTCTGGGTACGAGGTTGCGCCGGCACTGTGACTACGTGCCTGACTAAAAATAAACAACTATAGGCTGTTATAGAAATTGCTCGAAAACAATTTACAAACAGCTGCGTATAAGTGTATAATTACCTAAGTTTAGTTAATGATGAAAAGCAAGTTCGTTGCTAAGTTAGTACTGCAATAGCAGTAATGTACACGCTGCATGTATGCAAATATATACATAATTTTGCATCCTTCCAGTCCTTCCCCAGCCAAAAAGGTTTTATTTGTTCACAGTAAAATGCTTGGAGCCTCTGGCAATGAAATATTGCACGTATTGATATTGTGTGGTCTGCAGTGTGCGCGTGGAAATTGGGCTATTAGATATTTCAGTTTATAACATTGGTCCTAATGCCTCCCATTTTCCAAAATGGGTATAGTTCCAACGTAAAATGGATTGTTTTAAAACTTAAAATGGGCAGTTCTAAAATTGAGTTTTCGACGAGGCAATTGAGCCACTTCAGTTTTGTTCTTCCCACATCATAACGTTATACTGTGCACGTGTCTATAACTGAACAGGCGGCAAAATCTTATCTATGTGTTAAATATATATATTTGAAGTACTAATTAATGTACTTTGCTTGTTGACCAAGTACAAATCATATTTTGGTCAACTCTTGCTCGCGTTTGACCGCCATGCAACCATCACCGAAAGATTCGGCCTGACGGAATCTCATCAACCATAATCGACTTAATCGAGCTGGCTCAAAGTTTAATGATATTATAGTTAATGAGAGTTTTTATCGCTCGCTTTATCAGTAAATATCCAGCCGTCACTTATCAACTTCCATGCCAACTTTTGTTCTCATTTGACCGCTGAATGAAAATTTGAGGAAACTTTCATGCGTGTAAACATGCAGCAGAGTCGCTTTTCAATTCTTGTCAACTCTCACAGCTTAAATATTTGACTGATTTTGAATTCACCCACCTCATAAACTGTGTTAAACCTCTTAAATTTTCTGCTACGACATCCCCCTAGCAAATATCAACTTATTTTGATGCCTTCAAATCTGTTACGAAATTTAACATTCTCACTCTTTATTAACACGCATGTCAAGCTGTTGTAGACATATTCAGGCCTGAAATTCGTCGTCATAGTCTTCGCTCTAGCTTGACTATTTTAAGTTTTTAACCACGCATGCTTATGCAAACTTGTGCAGAGAACAATGACTTTTTTCAGTGGCACTACTAATTATCCAATAGCATCGCGCTTTGTATGCTGTTAAATTGTATGCTCACTGTTAAAATATTAATGAGCAAAATTTCAAAACTACACAAAAGTTTGCTCACGGTGAAATATATCATGTCAACAGAAAATTCTAGCTCACAATATTTACATTATTTTTGCGGCTCATGCATGACCAAGCTTAAAACATTCGAAGCCATCATGTAGGGTGTTTCATGTCAATTCACTGATCATTGCTACTTGAGGGTTGTAAAGAAAGACAAGTACTTTTGTAAGAAGCAAATAAAGTTTGGTATAATATGTATGCTTTTACTCGCATACAAAATGTAAGGAATTTTGTCTTTTGCCGCATCTCGATTGACTATAGAGACCTTACAATTTGGGACGGCAACGGCTACCAATACAATAAATCATTGAAAAGAATTGAATAATTACAAAATAGAAATAATCTGGACATTGTCCTCGCTCTATTTACAACGCCAAATCACAGATCGATTCGTACGTCTTGATACAACGGCTGCATTTCAGGCCGCAACAATTAGTGCAACTTCAAACTGGCTTCAGCATGCAAAACACTTCCCAACCATAAAACCCAGTTCAACTTCTAAGACTGTATTCAATTTATACGACTGATAATATACGACGAATTATCTTTGCTACCATTTATTTTAAGGAGTTGGTTTTGGTCATCGTCGTCGCGTTGCCGTCCTAAAATCGACCCGGAAGTGGCGAAACGCCGGATGATTTTTGGTTGAAACAAACCGGATGTTTTGCGCAACATTTTGCAAATTTGTGACGTTTTGTTCCTTTTTGGGCTGGATGTGTGGACTATTTAATATCATATGTACAGTACAGCTAAAAGTAAAAACGGCATGAATAAGCGCAAATTCATGCAATATAATGAAATATATATATTCAATATATACATGTATGACATATATTTAAAAATTTGTCTTGCTTTTTCTCTGCTTTACTTTGTCTTTGATGACCTTTGATCGATTTGCAACAGAAATATGCTCAAAAAGTTTAACGTGTTTTTCATTCAGTCCTGCATATTGAGTCATCTTATATTGTTTTTGGTGCTTTAAATTAGCCTTTTCTTTTGCCATCAATTAATATCTGGAAATATATTTTTTTGAATAATTTATTCATGCAACAATGCTCTGTAAAGTGTTAGGATGAGCAAGCTCGTACTATTGTCAATTTGTGGCGCAATTTCCGATCGTCACTATATATTTACTATAATAACCGATGACGCAACGGGCCACGCGATACCAGTGTTTAATAACGCTAGACAAGAGGCCTCCAATTCATTTCCTACTATCAGCCTTGTCAGTGGAAAAAGCAATGAATTTCCCGTCAGTTCTGGCGACAGTTTCGCTTATTTTGTTCTGCGCTGGCACGCGCAGCGAGGTAAGTGTGTAGATGCTACACTACTATATAAAACGTCTATAAAATTACAGTTGTTGTGGGCATGCAGCTAGAGTGTATCGCTTGCTCACAAATTCGGCTACTGCGGAAATTTATTGGCTCGCTTCATTTTATTTGTCGTTCAAAAGGCCGTAGGAAGCACAGATCATGATGAAGATGTTGTTGTCACCTTTTTGTCCAACCTTGAAACGTGGAGGCTGGGCGTATTTGCAGCGTTTCGATATGTTTTGTCTAGGTCTATGCCAAGTCATGTTGGGCTCATAAAAGTCAAGCTATTCTAAAATTAATATAATTGTAAAATTAAACCGTCCTAGATTAGCGGTCAAGGGTGTATGTTTTTGTTTACTATCATGTTGAAACATAGACAGGGGCATTGAAGTTTGCTCGTTTTCGGGTTGGACAGAAATGGTTGCGTGTACGTGTTGTTTGATTGTGTAATTATATAGGCAAAGCTAAATAAATAAATAAGGACGATTTTAGCTTATATTTCCGCGCGCATATATCACATAAACGGCTAACGATTTTTCAGTGCTTGTTCGCATCGCGTGCGCAATACATTTGCTGCGCATCAAAATTTTAATTCTTGATGCGTCATGCACAGATCACGAGCGCACGGTAAGATATAACCTTTTATTCATGTTGAAACGCGCATACTATTTACACCTTCTCCAGTCATGCTTGCTTTGTTAGCAACACTTGCGCCGAGTGCTTTTGTAGACCAAATAACCCTGTATCTTGATAAAATTCGGCCGAACGCCACGGAAAGCTCAGGTCTATACAGAAATTAAGAGTTCTAGGAATTTAAAATTTGCAGCAATGAACGTGCGCATATTTTGTAATTCAATTTTCTTCCAGCCAAACTGATGGCAAGCAACTGCGGCGTACTATGAAATGATAAACATATTCAATGCTTTAATTATAGTGCAAGTTCGAATCAAACTGGTACACCAGTTTACGATGCGATATGTTGTTATTACTCGACAGATTTAGAAAAGACGAGGCAAGGCAAACACGACGACGCAGTCTCAATTTCAGCTCGAGATTAAGAGCTATAAAGGAACTTGATTACTGTAATAAATTGAAGAGTTTTAAAATAACCTTACAAAAGACTAAGTCCGCTGGAAAAAAACGATTCGGTGTTTGCTATGCGGCAGATGTAATGTATATGTTATTTCTCCCCCAACGTTGCACCAAGCATTCACATTGGTCCATGCATGCAATGACGTGGAAATCTTAGTCTATGTTTCGAAGGCGTCATTCAGGTCCCTTCGTGTTTTCTAAATTAGTCTATTCTTCAAGAAATCAGACTACAAGAAAGCATCTGGAAACTGTCAATATAGAGCATTGGCTATAAAAGTAAACAACAAAAAATTGTAAAAATGCTTTAAGTATACCTGTACTATAATTCTATAAATGGAAAGCGCACTTTCCGCGCCCTGCATAGTTGTAAGAGTCATCGGTTAGCTATTTGTTATTGTTAACCTACGCTATGGGTACGTAGGAACTACAAATAAAAGCAATTGGCAATTTTCTATTATCAAAGTGAAAATAGCAGATGCAAGTCAAGAAAAATAGAAGATTTACAGTTATCGGTTTGAAAAGGGAAACATATTTTATATACGCTTTCCTTAATTCAAAGGTGAAATTTGAAAGAAAAATCAATTTCCTTTTAGATTTGTCCAGTTCCATTTCTTAGAACAAAGCTTATTGCACTTAGCATTTGCCTAAATAAATAAAACACATTAAGTTACTGTTGATAGCACACCATCGCCTTTGACCCGATACAAGGTCGAACACAATGTAACTCAACAAGAACTATTATATTTTCAGAAAGCTGCCCAATTTTTTTAGAGTTGCAATAAGGACGCAATTATATGATTGTTCATATCATGTAGAAATAAACATATCACCATGAAAATGAACAGATATAAGACTTGCAATCATCAGCATTGCTAGTTTGTACGGTAGAAACTGTTCTCCACAGACCAACAGCAAGGAAGTAGATAACCCCCGCTAACTTTCAAAGGGATTCCACGACGGTCTAATTAATCTGGCGCAGCTGAGTGAGAAATGTGGAGACAGAGTGTCGCACGCAAATGTAGTATTGATTGATGCCTTTATCATTAAGCTGTAGGAGCTTGAGCCAAAGTGCAAGTATTATTTAGCTGGGTAACTGACATCAAATTTCTTGAAGTGAGGGCTTCATCAAGTCAAGTTGTCACTCTCACTGGTCGGTGCGTATATTGGCCTTTTGCATGAATGGCCATGCATGATAGTCGATGGCTTTTTCGCGTTAACTTTCGTTGTACACGTAGTCTTCAAAGGAAGAAAAATTTGTTGGGAATATTAAATATTTTTGAGTTTCGAATTGTACTGTAATTTAATTTTTGCGCCAAAGAGATGGAATTTCAGTTCTGCTAGCGCGACAAGCAACTCGCTCTCGCGCACTTGTTTTCAATTCATTCAATCGTTTTACTTTTCACAATGCGAGATAAGTTACGATGCGTTACGGGGCTAAAGGAAATGAGTGAAATTGCGTATGTAGTGTAATTGTTTTGCGCATGCTCCAGTGCATCACACTGTGATGATATTGTGTCTGGCTTTCAATTCTGTTCATTACTGTGTTGCGGCATTTTATAACATTTTCTGTTCATATAATGTTACTCTAGTGCATGCCCGGGCTCGGTAAAAGTAAGTAATTGTCAAACAAGATTATAAAATGCAAATATGCAACAAAGTATACTCTGATTGCATTAATCCAGACTACTTTCCTTCGCAGTTCACTAAATAGGTTGTTTTCAAGCAATTAAGCTCCAGGAGATGTAGGGCAAATAATAACATTCTCTTCAGATTCTAGTTAAGTAATTTTTTCGCGCACTAATGTGTTTTTAAGGTAAATGAATGCAAAACATGAATGCAAAACAATATGTGACCTGTATATTCAAAAACGGCAACGAACGCTTTTGCTTTTACAATCTGTAGAAGAACATTGAATTAATCTATTCTCCACCTAAATCTAGGGACTGGTGATTGTAAATGGTAATGACCCAGGAAAATGTAATCAAACTAGCCACGGAAAAGAGGTTTTGGTTCAGAATCGAGAGAATAAGGAATTAATCATATTTTGTACCAAGGATAATAGCGTGTACAAATGGACAACAATTGGAGGTTTGTTTTAATATCGTTTATACATATACGCACTTTCTTCTCCAGCCCACAGTCAACGTTTCATGTTCAGGGTATCGTAGAAGAAAATATCGAGTACCAAATTTTTTTCACTGCAGTCTTTGCTTCCTAGAAAGTCACGCCCCCACTATGTTTGGAACTACGAGTCTATGTAGGGTTAATCATATCATAAGAGTTCTGCACTGATTGATTGATTTTCAATTATAAATCTTTTGCAGGAAAGACCCCAATAGGTGAGCTCTTTAGTCCTGCTTACGACTGTTCGAAAATATTGGACCACAATCCTGAAGCAAAAGATGGAATGTACTGGATCGACCTTGGTGGAATTTATCCTAAGCAGGTGAATTTTTAAAAAATGGATTAATAAATGTGAAAATTTAACTTTGAGAAGGAGTAGACTGCACTCTACCGTATTTTGTGAGCTCTCTTGCAAATTCTAAATATAATGTATAGGTATTGTACTTCGAGTGCAATTTCTAGTCTTTGAAGAATTTTATTAAATATATGTTTTTCCAAACGAGAACCATGCATTAATGATATGCACGAATTACACACTTTAATTGTCGTTTAAGCACCGTTCTGATTGCTTGTTTTCAAATCCTTAAGTTGTTAAATTCATGTGAGATTTTTAATTGAAAGTGTACAAAAATGATCAAAAAATAAAAATTCATATTGCTAATATCTGCCGCCATCTTGATTTTTCCCGTTTCGTTTCCAGGCTCTGTCGTTCTCTTCTTAATTTGCACTGTAGACTGCTGTCCAAGTTGGGGGGAGGGGGGGAGAGATACACTACACTCATACACTATAGCATTAAATATTAATATTTTCATGTATATTGTTAGCAGGGAAATCATGCATGCACCTTTCTACTCAGATCCAGGTTTTAGTATTCTTCTTTATCTTGTCAGGCATATTGTGATATGATTACTGACGGCGGAGGTTACATGTTATTTGGAAGAACAAATACCTCTGTAACATGGACAGTACCATCCAGTAACGACGCTGTTGAGCCATATGGCGATCCACACTGGGCAAGTCACCTGGGAGATGCTCCTATCCTTGACTTGAGAATACAGATGGCGAGGACAGAGGATCTCAGCAAACCTTTAGCACATTGGTAGGTTTGCAGGCGAAAGTTTAATCCTGGTTGCGCGCAATAATCTTTCAGCAAATTTGCGACATAAGTGTGGAGTGTGAGATTATATCTACTATACATTTCTCATGTTTAGGTCATTTAGATTACTTGCACTATGCATTTCTTTGTTTAGGTCATTTAGATTACAAACTGAACGTCTGTTGAAGAATTTGATGATTGTGGATCATGGATGTGCGCAAGCAACGCCTGGAATTGGAAACATCGCATATGTGAAGGATTTACAAACCGAAAATATTGTCACCACAAAGTTTCGTTGTTCCGTCTTTGGGAGTTACCATAATCCGGCAACAGGTTTTGGATGGGTAATTACAATTTCTTGAATATGAATGGGTAGAAATTAAAGGAAAGCTACACATATGCATTCCCCATGAGGTATAAGTCGAAAACCAAATTTGGTGGCGAACTTCGACTTATTGAATGAAAATTAATTGAAAATAACAGAGCATTTTCCTTTAAATTTTTCCCAAGGTAGGTGCATGCGTCATGATATAATAGTTCCTAATTAATCAATATAAAATGATATCTATTCACAGACCATGATGAATTCGTGCTTGAAGAAGCCTTGCCGCCGTGGATTTGCGTTTTTTGATCATGACGTATTCATGTTTCAAACAGACCATTCTGGATCGTTTAGGTATGTTAGTAATCCACGCAAAACAACCATTGAATACCGATTTCCGACTTTGTTGGCCACGTTGTTATAAGAATTGTAAATTTATAAATGCCATGAATCAAAATTTACGTTCTACAGGTAAGTCATATCCGCTCGCATGGGATTCGCCAACGGGGTTTTTTATTTTAGCTAACAGTAACTTCTTATTAAATTATTTCGAAAACAAATGTCTATAAATATAGCCAAGCTCTGGGCACTAGATGTTCTGCGGGGCTTTTATTTTTCGATGACATTTAATTCAATTTTCTCAAATATATTTTGCTATAGTTACAGTGTGTCCGGATCAATTTCTGGAATTTACCAGAATTCCACAGCAATTGTTGGTTGCGACAAAACAAAGGTAACTTGTTACATACCAATTTACATATACGTGTTGATGCCTTTTCCAGAGATAATATTGGAATGAATACAGAGGATAGACTAATTAATTACCTCAGATTAATTTGATACAGGTCTGAATTGAGAGAGATACAACTGAAAAATATAAGCAGACCTTTGACGTTTTGAAGTTGGTAGTGAGGATCGGAAAATTATATACGAAAATTAAATCACATGTAATTTTCTCGATCCACGGTATTAAGCTCCCGACGAAGAGCGTTTGCTCAAAACGTTGAGATTCTGCTGATATTTTTCTTATACACAGCTGTCTGTTATTGGAGCTACCAAGTTAGGAGAGTACATATGATAGTACGAATTAACAACAAAGATAAATAATTTTAAAATAACGAAACATATTTATTACCAGTGTTGTGGCTGCTTTGGTCCAGCGGGTGGAACAGATGATTACTGTGGCACAGAGTGCAAGAAACGAAGAAATGGAACTATTGTAAAAAATGTTTATTCCTGGTTTTGGGTGAGATCTTCCATTCCCAAGAAAGTTTGGAAGAAATGCATGGATTATAAAGTCACAACATCGAATGGAGACACAGTCAGGTACAAGTTATTGGATGGAAATCCCACGCCAGAAAAGGTAAATATAAGATTGGTTACAGCTTAACTATATGTTACGTTGTTCAAGCGATTTGTCTATACGTCTTCCATTGGCATCACCGTAGTATTTATATATAAATTTGTGGTTAGAGCTCGACAACTGTCTTCCTGAAACTCAGTTGGTTAGATCTCGACAACTGTAACTCTGTAGCTCAGTTGGTTAGAGCTCGACAACTGTAACTCTGTAGCTCAGTTGGTTAGATCTCGACAACTGTCTCTCTGTAGCTCAGTTGGTTAAAGCTCGACAACTGTCTCTCTGTAGCTCAGTTGGTTAGAGCTCGACAACTGTAACTCTGTAGCTCAGTTGGTTAGATCTCGACAACTGTCTCTCTATAGCTCAGTTGGTTAGAGCTCGACAACTGTCTCTCTATAGCTCAGTTGGTTAGAGCTCGACAACTGTCTCTCTGTAGCTCAGTTGGTTAGAGCTCGACAACTGTCTCTCTATAGCTCAGTTGGTTAGAGCTCGACAACTGTCTCTCTATAGCTCAGTTGGTTAGAGCTCGACAACTGTCTCTCTGTAGCTCAGTTGGTTAGAGCTCGACAACTGTCTCTCTGTAGCTCAGTTGGTTAGAGCTCGACAACTGTCTCTCTGTAGCTCAGTTGGTTAGAGCTTGACAACTGTCTCTCTGTAGCTCAGTTGGTTAGAGCTCGACAACTGTCTCTCTGTAGCTCAGTTGGTTAGAGCTCGACAACTGTCTCTCTGTAGCTCAGTTGGTTAGAGCTCGACAACTGTCTCTCTGTAGCTCAGTTGGTTAGAGCTGGACAACTGTCTCTCTGTAGCTCAGTTGGTTAGAGCTGGACAACTGTCTCTCTGTAGCTCAGTTGGTTAGAGCTCGACAACTGTCTCTCTGTAGCTCAGTTGGTTAGAGCTCGACAACTGTCTCTCTGTAGCTCAGTTGGTTAGAGCTCGACAACTGTCCCTCTGTAGCTCAGTTGGTTAGAGCTTGACAACTGTCTCTCTGTAGCTCAGTTGGTTAGAGCTCGACAACTGTCTCTCTGTATCTCAGTTGGTTAGAGCTCGACAACTGTCTCTCTGTAGCTCAGTTGGTTAGAGCTCGACAACTGTCTCTCTGTAGCTCACTCAGTTGGTTAGAGCTGGACAACTGTCTCTCTGTAGCTCAGTTGGTTAGAGCTCGACAACTGTCTCTCTGTAGCTCAGTTGGTTAGAGCTGGACAACTGTCTCTCTGTAGCTCAGTTGGTTAGAGCTCGACAACTGTCTCTCTGTAGCTCAGTTGGTTAGAGCTGGACAACTGTCTCTCTGTAGCTCAGTTGGTTAGAGCTGGACAACTGTCTCTCTGTAGCTCAGTTGGCTAGAGCTCGACAAC